ATAATATTCGACTTCGCCAGACGTTCGCAAGATGTAAGAAGGTTTACCTTTAATGGTTCGGTCACACGATTTAAAATTATTATGGAGCCTAATTTACTGAATGAAAAACAATAAAAAATCTTACCTATATATTCAACAGTGCTTCGCGTATTCACACGTTAATTCGGTCGTAAAGTTTAAGACATAGACATAACATTTATTACTAATAAACACACACACACAAAATAACAATCAAAGAAAAAAAAAATCCCTTTTCCCATTCGGTTCCTTTCTAGTGTGTAATGCGTGTGTGCTGTGGTTGAAATTGGCCCTGGCTCAGTAGTTTCTTAGATTCACCTTCATTGAAATCAATTCTTTTGTAAAAATATGATTTATTTATTAAATTTCGCAATAATCATATTTCGATTTTGGTATCTGGAAATGTTGCATGAACGCGCACTACACTGAGAACTATAATATTTTATTTATCGAAACTTGAGTTTCGCCTCTAGGGCATTCTGTTCCAAACTGTTTCTAGTGAATATGAAAGCCAATATGTGTTTTACATCAAGAATACAAATACTTAAAATCATATCGAGCTACGTTCTTAAAACATACAATACGTACCTATATAAATGAATGTCCATTAATTTATAATTCTAAAAAGTCGATTAACAATAAACTTCTTGATTGTGTTTTTAAAAAAAAGTTGTTTTATTTTTTTAAGATCAGCCATCCATTACTTTCTAAATAATATCTTTAAATACAGGTAAGTTTTTTTTTAAATTAATTTACTTAGATTTCGCTTTTGAAATCGCTCAACAAAAATATTACACTCATATAATATTTATACATGGAAGTTTTACATGATTAATGGAACGATTCCGAAACTGGTATAATAACGTCATAAGCAACTCATTTCGTAGTAAACCTCCTTGGATTGTCATCTAGTGGCGGCGTCTGGACTTTGATCGGTCAGTGAAAGAAGCCCTCATCTATTTGCGCACGCCACGCTAAGGGTCCACCTCATGGCAGACTTCCATATAGTCGGGATCGTGCATGATGTCCTTTATCATGTCTTTCAGCATTGTGTATCGTGGTACCATCGGGTAGACCTTGGAGCTGACGTAGTCTTTCTGAAAACGACTTGTTTACTGATATACTGTTGTGATTACTGTTCCCTTATTAATTACATTGGGGAGCTATATTTTATTAACAGCTTGTTCTGGCTTTGGTGAAGTTTTTTCTTATTTTAATAATTTTGAAAATAAATGTAGCTTATGTTACTCATGAATCATTGTAATGGTGAGAATTATTAAAATTGCTGCAGTAGTTTTTGGGTACTTCGTTGTAACATCGTTTCCTCTTTATGGTATAGATTGTACGAAAAAGAATGTACCTTGGAAATATGTTTTATTTGTTACACAGGGGAACACATACACACCCTAACAGGCTGCCACAAGTAGTATTTTAATAAATATTTATGAAATGTTTCAGAAAGTAAAATAATATATAAGTATAAAACTAAATTGAGGACATAACATTTGTTGTTTTCGTATAAATCTCTTACCTTCAGTTCCCTAATAAGATTCCTCAACCCCGTATATTTCTTCAGCAGTCGATACAAATCATTAGTCATTTGCGTATTTTCGGTCTCTATTTGCGACGTCGTCATGTCTGCAATACAAACATTACTATAGTACTAACTCGCTGTTACAATTTATGTTTCGATATTAGACTAAAGGCGAACTACTGTACGGTACTGTGTAGTTACAGTGTAGTACTACACTTTTAAATACCAAAAATATTTTATATTAACACAAACTTCGTACTTAGTTGCTGAAATCTAATTAATACAATTGGGGACTGGGAATTCAATGCTGGCTGGCTATTTCCTTAGTCAACAATAGACCCAACTTACGCTAAGCCAATTTCACGGATACTGTAATTAAATAAGAAAGGTAACAATGTATTTTCCCCAAGAGCTTAATTTTACCTCAATAATATTCAATTGCGTTGATATGGAGTTCCGAAGAATGTGTATATTTATATTATATAGGTTCTTTAATGGAATTAAAAAAAAAATTAAACACGAAAAATTTTGAAGATCGCAATTTTTTCTTTATTTACTTTCATTCTAGTTTCTAATTTTCAGTACTTTTGGAAGTCAGAGACTTTGTTGCTTAAGAGAAAATGCGAAGATTCTGGTTTCCATACCTTAGGGATCAATAATTGTTTCGGGATGCTGAACACCAAAGGCTGATAGCTAATCCCTTAAAACAATACTTCCAAAAGACAGAAATGTAATACCTTTTCCCCTATCCTACAAAGTTCACACGCAGTTTAAATAATGCGCCCGGGAGCCTACGATACGGCCTGTGACGAATACCCAAGAAAACCATCACCCATATGAACTGAACTCTAAATATGTTTTTCATAACAATGTTTAATGAAAGAAAAATAAATTTGTGGTTATTTAAAATATAAGAATGGAATACCATTAAGTCTTTCCAGGCGATCCCGTTTTTCGGCAGCTTCTTCGGCCAATTTAGCGGAAGTCTTGACCCCTTCTCCAGACTTTTGGGTCTTTTCCATGATGGCGCACGCACGAAGAACAAATGCTGGAACAGTTTCCGCCTTTTCCTGTTTTGGGATCTCCACGAGGGACCAGTATTGAGTTTCTAGACGAATAACATCCTGGAATTTAGTCAAAATAATTATTGATATTTTTTTCTAATTTATTTATTTCTCGTGTCACAATGTTCGTTCCCATACTCCTCCGAAACGGCTCGCTCGATTCCTATGAAATTTTTTATGCACATTCCGTAAGTCTGAGAATCGGCTACTATCTATCTTTCAAACCCCTTAGTGATAAGGGGTAACTCTAAAAAAACTTGTTTGTTTTTATTACATACAACCTTTAATTTTCAACCCTCAACGATCAAGTATTAAACCCTATTTTAATTTATCATAGTTAGGCGAAAACAATGGTTATCATCGCGGAATGTATACCGCAACAGAAATAAGCATGGATGAGTAGCGGAGGCACCGCAAGCTTGCTTCAAATATAAATATCGTCGCGGGATCAAACAATTATCTGATTTTGGATATATGTGTTTAGAAATTAGGGTAAAAAAGTGATTAGGGTCCTTCAAGAAAAGAGCGTACCAATTCTTAAAAGGCCGGCAACGCACCCGCATTGAGAGTGTCCATGGGCGGCGGTATCACTTAACATCAGGTGAGACTCCTGCCCGTTTGCCTCCTATTCTTTAAAAAAAAGAGGATATGCCAAAATTATTCTCGTTCTATTCAATCAATCAAATCAATCAAAATACGTTTATTCAGTTTAGATGCATCTTAGGGCATGCTTATGAATGTCAAAAACGTTTACAAAATTCGCGAAAGAGCAAGACTACGCCATCCGTTCGCAAAACTACCGGGAGGCCTTGTTCTGAGAAGAACGGGCAAGAAACTCAGCAAGTTTTACCCTCCCTCTACATTACAATTATTCAAAGGAAAATGTCATAAACCACAACGTCATTAAAGTTACATATTAAGTAAAAAAAGTATTCTTTATTAGACCCTATTATTTGCTCATCTAGATTCGTTTCAGACAAACATAAACCGGAAATATTATTTGAACAGTTAAAGTTAGTTGATAGTAATGAAACGCTCGATTTAACTAAATTCGAACAAAGTGCTATCATCGAACTAAGTGCAATCGTGTTTAAACTGCATAAGTTTGTGTTGGAAGCCGTCCAATTTCAGCCGATAAAGACTCTTGCTTCCAAAATTTATTTTATACGAGAAAATAGATGTTAACTTTAATGCATGTAACTTAGTCACATGTGAGCCTAAATGTATATTATACTTAATTTATAACTGGAGTAAAATTTAATTAGGCAAATATTGTTTCCGTTTCCGGTGAAGCCTTAGATAAATAAGGCTTTCCTGTAATTTATACTAATGGCCTAATTTAAGAACAAATTAGTTAGAAGATGGCAATGCTTTTAAATAATTAAAAAACAATTCAGAATATCCGTGATGAAAATAACAAACTAACGAACATAACGGCGATGAAATCGTAAATAGACAGATCGTGAATAGGTTTTTAATAGATCTCTATAGATGTACCGTACATATTAAGTGCCACAGCATACAAACCTGTCCCAATTTAAAAAAAACCGTCATAACACTAGTAAATTTAGGATAATTAAATCAAAGATATATTGTATTTATATCTGCTACTTACGTCAGTATAAGAAATTTGTATGATTTTTTTTAGTTCTGTACGCGCTGTAAGACTAAGGGTATGTTTCACAATGTATGGATAAAGTACCAAATAGCTATGAAACACATAAATTAATTGGAAGATAAATTGTGCTATTTGACATTGAAGTCCACTTATGATGGACTTTATGTGTCGAATAGCGATATCTGACAGTCGTGAAACGCAACAATAGTGTTTATCCTACCAATAAGTAAATATTGGGTGTGCTTCCGGTTTTGTGTTCCGGCCCCCTTTTCCCCCCCCCCCCCCCCTTTTTTTTTTTTTTTTTCCTTTTTTTAATTGGGTGGGGTCCCCTTCCCCCCGCCCCTCCTTTTTTTTTTTTTTTTATATATTTTAGCTAATTTGGAATTTATTATAAATAATTATTTATTATGATTCTCTTTCACTTAAGTGTACCTAATTCTATTTAGTTAAAAGTATATATTATGATAATTTAGAACATCTCTCCAAACACTAAGAAGTATGTTTAGTTGGCAGTACTTGTACTATAAAATTATAATTTTCTTTGAAAAATAATCAAAACCTTTATTTGTTTAAAAGGTAAATCATGTCATTATGGTCATTAAAATTCTTGGCATACGAACTCACGCATATCTATTTCTTTACTTGCATTGTCTTATTCCAACCCACTCGCTACGCTTATCACACATTTTGTCCGCCTTTAAATTTTTAACGCGCCTAAAGTTGTATAAATAAACAATAAAATAGCCTTTTATTCCTAAACGTAGGGTTATAAGAGATCCCTAAGTTCGGTGTGCCTTTTGGCATAAGCCTCCTCCAATTCCTTCCAGTGGATCCTGTCCCTTGCTACTCTCAACCAGAATGGTCCCGCTGCCAGTTTCGAGTCATCTTCCCATCTCCTGACTTGACGACGCCTACCTCTTTTGCCGTCTCTTGGTTGCCAGAGAGTGACTTGCTTGCTCCATTTGTTAATGGGGTGGCGTAGCAAATGTCCAGCCCATCTCCATTTTTGGACGTCTATCCGCGTAAGAATGTCTATTAGTTTTGTTCTTGATCTCATGTCTACGTTCCCGACTCTGTCTTTGATTTGTTAGCCTTTCCCTGTGGTGAAGTGTTATTGACCAAGATTCGCAGCCATAAGTAAGAACTGGTAGAATACAGGTCTCGAATGTTTTTTTTTTATGTGATTGCCTAGATCCTTAAATTAAAGGCCAACGCATTGGCGTTCTAGGTGTCTATGGCAGGTGGTTATCTCTTAATTTTTCATGTACGATTTTTCATTATCCCATATATTAACTAACAAATTGATATGTTAGGTAGAAATTTTACCTCAATTTAAACGCACTTCACTTAATCTTAATGAGATTTTCTTCTCTTCGTTTCATAACGGAAAAACGGAAACGAGAAAACTTGTAATACAACATTTCTATTCAGCTCTGTTTTATTTATTTAAAAAGTTTTTAACAAGAAACGGAGCATTTGTTTTGGTAATTGTAGGAATAAACAATATTTCTGACATAATGGCTTCTTAGACAGCCCTGATGCCCAAGGGAACATTGCTGCAATAAACTTTCTATAGATGTTTAAGAATATTTTATTTGACAAAACCGTTCCGAGATTTTATTGTATTCTAGCAGACCGGCCAAGCGTTGCTGTGGCTAAGGTTTTTGTAATATTATATAGTAGAAAACTATTCAAGGGAAACGGTAGGAGAACACCAGTCATGGGGACCACCATGCTTTTTTGGTGGTTATGCCATTAAATTGTAGCTTATGTGAAACGTTGCTACTTTCAACACAGCGCCATCTGTTAGAATTGTGACTGTCAAATAATATACAAATATTTTGCAATAAAATAATATTGCGGGTAATAAATTGAGATGTAAGCTATCCTATCTTTTAAGTTGGATCAAACTACACACGGTGTGCAAATTTGATTGATATCGGTTCGGTAGTTTAGGAGTCCATAGCGGACAAACAACGTGACACGTAATTTATATATATTAAGATATCGGAGCAACGGCGCTGGCATCGGCTGCCATTTTCATTAAAGTTTAATAACATCAAAGTAAAATCAAAGCCGTTATATTGTTTATTTGATTTGTCAATATTAAAAAAAAAATCTTTTTGTAACATATACAATAAAATCTTTATTAATTTATTTTATATGTTGTGTGATAACTACACAAAGCTTGTTAATTTTTTTTAATCATATGCATCAACCTATGTCCATTTTTGTATATGTTTAAATAAATACAGTCTTTGCCTAGTGGTTAAGCATGCGGTTGTTAACACTAGAAAAACATAATAAAATCAAACTATGTTATTGTTAATTCTTGTAAAACGAAACATGTTTATATCGGGGCAATCCCAATTGTTATTTGAAAATTAACTCACTATTGTATAAGATCTGCAACCCTTTTAAAATAACAAAATATAAAAAAATATATTTAAGAATGGTTAATACGAACATAAAAACTTTAAATAAAAATAAACTATGATACTGATAATTGTTGTAGAATTAAATATGTATATATAGTTAATTGACTAGTTTACTATTCTATAAGCTCACAGCCCTTTTGAAAATTCTCTGGAAAATTTCACGTTCAAACCGATTTAACAAAGGAATTACGTTTCACATTGAACTGACAGTGCACCGAGCTAGGATAACGAAATTGCCCGAGAGCGTTGCTACGATTTTTAATTCAATACAAAATTGTGTAGATTCTCTTAGATTCTAAACTGCTAGATAGTAGATACAAATGCTAAGATTTACTAAAAAAATACTTTGTATAAAAGATAAACTTAAAATTCTATGATAAATAAACTCGCGTTTTTATTAGTTTGTATAAAAACGGAAATATCTAAGTTATACGAACTGTTTTTATCTGCTGAATTCCAAATTCGCTCTCACTATGTGTTGTATCGATATCACTCGATCGATATCACTATGTGTTGTATTTATGGATTTAAAACAGACACACCCAGATTCTGAGATTCTATTTTAAGTTAGATTATTTTTAATCATCAGATATAATATTTAGATATATTTCACATATACATTGAAATAAATAACTAACCTAATAACTAATTAACATATAATAACTAAATTATATTATTAAAAGGAGTCCCTTTAGGCAAGGTTCCAAAGATACTGGCAGCGTTCCCTCTTTGAATAGCTAGACTAATTCTTTGTCCGAGGTAGCTGCCAGATCTTCGGTCTCCTGTGATGTCGACTAACCTTTTTGATATTTCTTTAAAAACCCTTTAAAAAATATGGCATACATATATCATCAGATTATATGTAGGAGCAATGCAGTGGCGGATTTACAAATTTTCAAGAAATAGGCTGTGAAGTTTTTGCCGCCCTTGCCTCTACAACTGTCATATCCTCTGATTTTTTTTAGAATTCAACAATTTCGTTGCACTTAAAATAAAGGTTGGATTTGATTTTTGAGCACAAAATAATACACAAGCCATCCAGTTTGCAGCCTCCGACCAGTAGTAGGACTGACATATATATAGGTTGACAGGGGGAAGAGGGAAAACACTTTCTGCAATTTCGCTCTTTTCACTCATACAAAGTGTGAGCTGAAGGCGCAGAGGTCGATTAGAGGTGGGGGTTGTGCAAAATTTGTTACTGTAAAACATCAGAAAACCGTCATGCAGAAATCTTTCTCATTTGTATGAGGTAGCAAAAAAATCGGTTCTACAATTTGCCGCCCTAAAAATCTGCCGCCCTAGGCTCCAGCCTACTCAGCCTGCTGGTAAATCCGCCACTGGAGCAATGTCTTCGTCATATATAATATGTATACTCATATGTAACATGTAATCGTAAAAAAACTATAAGACCATACGTTTTTCTTTTATGAATAATTAATTGTTTAAAACAAAAATGAAATGCCGCCAGCGTTAAAGGTACACTGCCACAGGGACCAAACTTTTTAAATTTGTTTTGATTTTCTTCTTTCTTCTTTAATTATTTTTATTATTACTTTATAGGTTAAGAAAATTGTAAATACTGTATTTGTGATTTAATTACTTAGTAAATATTTTTATGAAGAATTAATTGTTTAAAACGACATTAATTGTTCTATATTATAAAGTATTATATTCCCAAGTCGTGCTAGCTCTCGTCACCCAAGCGTTGAGTGTCAGAACCAACGAGACAGCTGAAGTTCCGACTGATTTTTACCTTCGAACATGGAGTTGAATAAATAAAAATGCATGACTTATTTTCTGTAATGGTAACAAAATGTTAAGGTCTTTTTAGACATAGTTTTAAAGAGATTATTAAAATCTACTTATGAATAACATTTTAACTTTAATGTTTTTATTATAATGACATTCACGCACATTATAATGTTTATCTAAAGTTTAAATTATAATGGTAGCCTTGATATTATACATTGTTATTGATAAATACACTTTGTCATTGATTAAAAAAAATAAAGTCAAGACGAAAAGGTTTTAAATTTTAATAATACATTAACAACTAGTATTGTCTACATTCTAATTAATAAAAAGCGTCAGAAAGACAACGGATGTATTTTATGAAACTTACAACAAGTGTATAAACATAAGAACGCCGTATTTTTTTTAAACCAAGAGAATGATCTACGCCTTAAGAAGACACATATCAGAAACTAATAAACTCCAGGAAATTATTGAGATTTATGCATGATAATATCACAAAGTCAAAGCAGTCTGGGTTTCCTGGCAACTTAGCCTTCTGAAACCCCTAAAATTCACTGAGTTTCAAGCTAAGCTTTCCTTTACGAATCGAAGTTACCGAGCCGTATTAGTAGAACGGTATAACGGTTGTGTTGAATTTTTAGAAACTTTGTATTTTACGGGAATGCTGTACATTTGAAGGAGCTGTAAAAGTCTGGAGCTGACGGACTGAATTACATAAAACAAAGAAAAGTTAATAGCTTTCGCCTTCAGATTTACTAACTACTATATAATTTCCCTCTGCCACTACCAGTAAAATAAAATAAATCAGTGACGGTACAACCTTTTACAGCTGGGCCTCAGATTTCTGTATCTGTTTCATCATCTATTGTTAATCTAATAGGCAAGTAGGTGATCAGCCTTGTTACTTTTGGGTCTAATTATGCCGGTTTCCTAGCTATATTTCCCTTCACCGTACGAGTAATTATCTCTAGACAGAAAATGCCATTGTAAACATTAATTCCAATGCATGGGTAACACGCAAGTCAGGGCTGAGAGTAACTTTTTTTATCATCGTTTTTATACAACGCCATTTGTACTTGAACTTTAATAGATAACGTCACTGTTTTGAAGATAATTGGTATTAATCTGTATATATATAAAATTCTTGTCTCACAATGTTCGTTCCCATACTTCTCCGAAACGGCTTGACTGATTCTTATGAATTTTTTTATGCATATTCTAAGTCTATGTAAGTCTGAGAATCGGCTAATACCTAATATATTTCAAACCCCTAAATGATAAGGGGTGTCCATCCCAAACATTTATTTTTATATTTTAGACAATCTTTATTTTTTTATGATACAACATACAAAAATACATCTAACCCTTAATTTTCATCTAACCTCTACGATCAACCCCTATTTTTTATTTGTTAGTTAAGAATTTATAACTTGAACTCTAAGGTCTGTATAGAGAAAAATCACAGAAAAACCTAAAAAGATTTCATTCCGGAAAACCTACAGTCTCTGGAGTAGCAAAGCAAAATGTTCCATGTTGGTATGTACTAAAGAGGTAGGCTAAGTAAAATCACATTAAGGAGAAACGAAGTTCGCGGAGGCAGCTAGTATTAATAGGTATATGTGTGTTAAGCCCTATAACACCTGTGAGCTATGTGTATTTTTTAGTCTATTTCAGTACCTTTTTTAAAAGGCCACACTTTATGTTCGCATATAATCTATTAGTACATAACTACAGTAGAGATACTAATCTTTATTACATCCAGTACAAGGTTTCGTCTGCTAGGCTGGATAAAGCAATATTAAATTAATTCCATTAAGTACGGAGCTAAGAAATTAACAATGTTATAAGCTGATGTAAGCAAATT